GATTGATCAAGTTCAAACTCACACACACATGGTACATCATGTCACAAATAGGTATGTGCCTTTGTTTCATGATCTGCTTAACAATAGCGAAATGATGGGCCATTTTAAGGCTGAAAATGCATCAAAATCACGTATTTTCACAATTCCAGAACCGGATCTCAGTCATGCATGGATGGATTTTGTTCAGATTTAGCACAATGTGTTGTACATATGCAGGTGCATTTCGGTCATGATCTGCTTTGAATGTATATGTCACTCAAATATGAACGGAACGGGGACGTGTCATTGACAATGACTTGTTTTATAAGGGATGGAACAATTGCTTAAATTTGAGGGGAAATGTTTAAAATGGTTCTACCTGCAGCTGACTAGTACTTCTCAATACATGTGTTGTAAAGGGGCAATAACAGAGTATTTTCGATCATGTTTAAATAATTGACTCCCGTCTATGTGTGTGTGTCTGTCCGTTCCACTGATATCTCAAGAACTGTAAGTTGGTTTTTAATGAAACTTGGTGTATAGATGCTTTTGGCTAATGCACAGATTTGATTAGGTTTTGGTTGAAATCCATACATATTAATTACCTGATTTGCATGATAATTAGCTAATTTTTAGCTGTTCCACTGATATCTAAAGAGCCATTCATTAGATTTTGATGAAACTTAGTACATAGATGCTCTGGACTAATGCACAGATATTAGTTTTGGGTAAAAATCCATGCATATAATTAATCTAATTTGCATAATGATTAGACAATTTTTGGCTTTTCCACCGATATCTCAGGTACTAATCATCACATTTCAATGAAACTTGCATAGATACATAGAACGATGCACAGATGGATATGTGAAAAATTAATCAATTTTCAGCTTTTGATATTTCAAGTACCGTACTATTCATTACTTTTCAATGAAACTTGATACATAGGTGCTCTAGAACAATCCAAAGACCTGATTAATTTTAAGTAAAAATGTGTGCATATTAATCAACTTATTTGCATAATTAGTTAATTTTGGCTTTTACACTGATATCGCAAGTACTAATTATCCCATTTCAATGAAACTTCGTACACTGATGCTCCAGAACAATGCACAGTCCCGCTCAGTTTGTTAAAATCAGATCATATTAATTACCTAATTTGCATAATAAATCATAATTTATCAAATGTATTTTCTGTATGTATTATAAATTTTGATAATGTGAATCACATTATTTTCATGTTATGCATCTCAAATAGTTGCCAAGCTTCTAATCTTGTTTGAAAAGCAAATCTTAAATTTTGAATTAATTTTAATGTGTCTCCAATACTCTCAGCACAGGGGAGTTATTTCTAAGCTTTCTTTGATTTTATAACTGATATAACAATTTGATAACATGATACAGTCACAGTATAAGATTTATCATAAAATAAATATAATATTTCAGTAACCAACTTGGCAGATGTAATGAACATGCTTGTGTGCTTTAGTGGTGAATTATCTGAATATAAATCCTGACATACTCTTTTGCATGTGTCAATATAAAGCATTAAACAATTTGCTGAATACTTGGTTTTCTTGGGATTGGCCATTGAATCATTTGCTGGGGAAAATATAGGCTTCTAATGAAGACCTTGAACAACCACGCCTAGGAAAGATTTTTTGGAACAAGAGATAATAATATGCTTTTACTGTGTCCAGAAATGAATCTTGCACAAAAATGCGTTCATAGTTGCTCTGTCGTAACCCACCAAAACGGCGTGATACAGCGCCTCATACGGTAGAACGTAGAAGTGATGTATCGGCCCGTGTCAATGATGACGCTGCTGTAAAAAGAAGCAACTGATCAGATTGATGGATTGAATTGCAACATTGCATTTGTTAGTTTATCACGTATATTGACAGTTTTGAATATATATCTCAGCTGCGAGTCCGAGTAATGTGATCATGAACTCGAAAAACTATCGACACTCTCCATGATGTGATGGAGTGAAGGCAGCGAATCTAATAACAGTCCTATTTTTTCATCAAGTTATCTTCAAAATCATATATAAAATCTGTCTATTAACTTTAACACACCCTGATTTTGTAAATACGAGATATTTTCCGTTGCCTTGATAGTTTCACAAAAAAAAATAATCGGGACACAAAGAATTGAAATTCTGTTCGACGAAATATCAGAAGGTGAAATGGTTTCACAGTGGGACACGTCACGCAGAATAGCGATATACTGTCAAAATGCGAAATAGTATAAAATTATTTGTAAAAAGGGGTTCATTCGTGACAAAAAACAATTACAAAAACACCCAATCTCCTGGCTTCTCAGTCTGGTCTCTTCTTAAAATTGAAAAGCATGCTTGAATTGTTCAACAAAAACTTTAGTACAGGTGCTTCCCAAGAGTTGGGTCA